TTCCCGGTAGGTCGGACCTCGGCCAGGTTCACCTCGGCCCTCATACTTAGCATCTGTCAACGCTAGTGGTGGTGATCTCGGCCGTCCGAGCTAGGTATGACTCATGAGTCATCTTGGAGCACCAATAGGGGTCCTCCACGTGTCCAGGGTATTCTTTTCCCCAAACACTATTTATAGAACTTTGAAAGCTTAATTTGAATAGGATGTAAATTCAAATTCAAATTGGAAAAAAGATTCTATTTATCTCTCTTTTTTCTTTTTGAATTAGGAAATACCTTAAAGTATATTTTGATTACTTTAAAACTAATTTTTAAACCAAATAGTTTTAAGTTTACTAATTTAATTAATAAAAGATTTTTATGGCCAATTAAAAAATAATCAAATTACCAATTTTTCTATATATAAAAATTACAAAAATACAAGGCGTTACAGGAAAGATTATCGTAATCAGAGTGAAGACAAAAGGAAAGACAAGGTAGCAAAGTGTAATTTTTGTCATAAAATAGGTCACATAAAGAAAGGTTGTTTTTTCTTCAAGAAGAAGCAAACCTCAAAACAGAAAAATGAAAAGACAAGAAGAGGCATCTGTCAATGAGAATAACATCACGTACTCTGATGTGCTTGTAGCCATTGATCAATGTGGAAAAGAACAAGATACTCAAGAAAAACAAGACTAGGTCTTGGATTCAGGGTGCTCATACCATATGACTCCATCAAAATCATGGTTTAGAACCTACAAAGAATGGGATGGAGGATTAGTCTACATGAGAAACAACAATGTTTGCAAGGTAGTGGGTATTGGCACCGTATCTTTGAGATTAAAAGATGGTTCCACAAAAGTCTTACAGAATGTTAGACATGTTCTTAGCTTGAAAAGGAATCTAATATCACTAGGAATGCTAGATTCTGTAGGATGTAAATATAGTGAACAGGGAGGCATGTTAAAAGTGACTAAGGACACTAGATGAATACTTGTTGGTGAAAAGGTAAATGCGTTATATGTTGTAAAAGATGTTGAGCCAGTGGGTTCAGTATTAGTAACTACAGATGGAAATCTCACTAATGGAGACCTATGGCATATGAGACTATCACACATTAGCCAAAAAGGACTAAGTGAGTTGAGCAAACAAGGTATTATACCAAAAGATGCTTGTGAAGACTTGAATTTTTGTGAAATCTGCATTTTAGGTAAAGCAACCAAACAAAGCTTTAGTAAGATAGAACATATAACCAATGGAATTCTGGACTATGTGTATTCAGATCTATGGGGACCAGCTCAAACCACATCACTCAATGGTGTAAGGTATTTTCTATCCATAATTGATGATTACTCTAGGAAAACTTGGGTATATTTCCTTAAAACCAAGAATCAAGCCCTAGAAAAATTCAAAGAATGGAAAAAATTGGTTGAAAATCAAACTTAAAAGTCAGTAAGATATCTAAGAACAGACAATGTTCTGGAATTTTGCAGTGACGCTTTTAATAATTTCTGCAAAGAACAGAAGATTAGTCGACACAGAACAGTGAGACACACACCTCAACAGAACGGAGTGGCAGAAATGCTAAATAGAACTGTGATGGAACGCGTCAGATGTTTATTGCTTGATGGAAAGTTGACAGAGAAATTTTGGGCAGAAGCTACTTCCTATGCAATATACATTATAAATAGAAGTCCACAAATTGCTAATAATTTTCTTGCACCAGAAGAAAGCTGGACTAAACAATCTCCAAAGCTTGATGAATTAGAAGTGTTTGGGTGTATAGGCTATGTCCATATCAGTCAAGGCAAGCTAAAACCGAGTGCAGTAAAGTGTATGTTCTTAGGCTTCACAAGAGTTGTAAAGAGGTTCAGATTTTGGCATCCTACTGAAAAAAGATGCATTAATAGTAGAGATGTCATATTTCGAGAACATGAAATGTTTATGACACAAGAACCTCCAAATGATACCACTTCTCAAAATCCTAAATATTCATTTGAGGTGGAGCAGATGAGAGAAAACTGAGAATGTCATTGAACAACATACATCTATATGAGAAAACTCAGAAACAACCGAAGAAGAAACTCACGAAGAAACCTACCAAGAACGTTCAAATCTAGAAGGATACCAGCTTGCTAGGGATAGAAAAAGGAGACAAATCAATCCCCCTAGAAGATATGGTGATGCAGATTTTATTGCTATGGCTTTAAATGTAGCACATGATCAAAACTTTTCAGAACCTTAAACTTTTGAAGAGGCTATAAGTTGTAAAGAAGCTGATAAGTGGATACAAGCCATGAATGAGGAAATGACCTCCCTTGAACAAAATGAAACCTGGACTCTTGTTCCACTTCCAAAAGGCAGAAAACCAATTGCATGAAAATGGACCTTTAAACTCAAAAGAATGAATCTTAGAAATCCAACAATCAAGGTACAAAGCAAGGCTAGTTGCCAAAGGGTTCTCTCGAAGGGAAGCAATTGACTACACAAACATATTCTCACCAGTGGTCAAACATACCTCAATTTGAGTTCTACTCTCTATAGAGCTTGACCAACTCGATGTGAAGACAACTTTCTTACATGGTTATCTAAATGAAACCATATTCATTCACCAACCAACCAGATATGAGTCAAAGGAAAAGAAAACGAGGTATGTCATTAACATAAATCTCTATATGGTTTGAAACAGTCTCCTAGATGTTGGTATTAAAGGTTTGATGAGTTTATAACTAAGATAGGCTTCAAGAGAAGCTCGTTTGATAGTTGTGTCTATGTTAGAACTACTACTGGCAAGCATGACGTGTTCTTACTCTTATACGTGATGACATGCTTCTAGCCGGAAAGAGGAAAGAAGATTTAAATTTCGTAAAAGAGTGTCTTAAAACAGAATTTGATATGAAAGACATAGGTTAATCTAGAAAAATCCTAGGAATGAAAATCCAACGAAATATAGAAAGAGGACAAATGAACGTCAGTCAAACCACCTATACTAAAAGAATCCTTACAAAATTTAGTATGGAAACAACAAAGATAGTGAGAACTCCTTTGGCTCAACATTTTAAACTGTCTGTAGCAAACTCCCCACATGAATCTGACCTAGAACATAAAAAWTATATGGATCTAGCCCCATATTCAAATGTGGTAGGCAGCATAATGTATCTTATGGTATGTACCATACCTGATCTATCTTATGCTAGCAGCCTAATAAGCAGATATATGTCAAAATCTGGTAAAAGACATCGGGAAGTTGCCAAATAGGTACTAGGGTACCTAAAGGGGACAACAAATAGTGGATTAACCTAAAGAAAAACACAAGAAACATCAGCAGAGTTGATTGGTTTTGTTGATTCAGATTATGCTGAGGACCTAGATAAAAGGGGGTCATTATCTGGATATCTCTTCCTAATGGGTCAAAATATAACAAGCTGGAAAGCCTCTTTGCAATCCGTGGTAGCTCTTTCCACCATTGAGGTAGAATTCATTGCTCCGTCGGAAGTAGTAAAAGAAGCTCTATGGTTAAAAGGCCTATTGAAAGAGTTGGGCTATGAGCAAACAACAATGGCAATCTACTGTGACAACCAAAGTACAATCTATTTATCTAAAAACCAGCAATTCCACGACAGAACTAAACATATAGACATAAAGTACCACTTTATAAGAGAGCAGATTGAAAATAAACAAATTAAGGTGGAGAAAGTTCATACATCGGACAATGTAGTAGACATGCTTACCAAACCAGTAAATCAAACAAAATTTGAACACTGCTTAAAGCTAATTGGTTTGCATGTACCTGAAAAGGGTAGATTTGCTCAAATTTGGGGGATATCTTTGCTCGCTTGCAGCTTGGCTTCGAAGGTGGAGATTTGTAGATTTCAACATCAGGTGAAATCCAATTGAAGCTCAGTAAAAATTCTACAAGTTAAAATTTACAGCGGTTTCAAAATAACTTTAAAGATCTATGTATAAATATACGCATCAGTGTTGATGAATGTGTATGCTCATTTTGGCATCAAGTTCTTCGTTTTCTTTTTTCAGTACAATATATGGGGTGAGCGATCGAACCTACAACCTTTTGGTTGGACATATATGTCAATTATCACTAACTTATACTCGCTTTGGTCTAAGTGGTTCGTTTTGTTGCTCAATTTTACGACTTGCTCAATTTTACGACATATATATTTATATTGATTAATATCTGCACTAAGAACAATTATGCATTGAAATCTCACAAATAGTGGAGGAGTGGGGCTAAGTTTGGCAGTAAAGATCAAAAAGACAGTGAGGTTTCCCACTTGTGGTGTACGCAAGCCATGTCAAAAAGTAGTCCAAATCGTCGCTTCCAAATCCTTCTCTCTCTCTCTTTCTCACGGCTCTCGCTTGGCCGACAAAAACCCATACGTAGTAGTAGATCAGCCGTAGAGGAGAGCCCAGAACTTTAATTACGAACCCGCAGCAATTTCTCCTGATTCTCGCTGGAGGTCCGTCTCTCTGTTCTTCTACTTTTTCTTTGTTCTTAGTTTCCCATCATTGTATGGAATCTCGCCTTGTTTCGTTTAATTGCTCGCTCAACTTATTGCGCTGTGGAAGTGGTTGCTTTGTTCCATCTTTTTGCGTGGTTTCGGATCAGAGAGTTTGATGAGCTATAAATTATCTTCTTGGGTAGGAATCTTTTGGTTGTAATGTGTTAAATTCAGGTGATCCAGGACTCTTTATGTCGTTTTTATTTTTTTTGAGGGCTCGCTTGCTTCGTTAATCTTATAAAATTGCTTGGGTGTTGGAATTTTGGTTGGGGACAAACACTATTGTGCTGCTTGGCTCTGAACTATTTTCTTATTGTATTAACTTGCGACAGTGTCGGACTGATGGTCAATTCTTAAACTGCAGATCGTATTATTTGTATACTATTCGTCAGCTATATCAGGGGAGCATGATTTTTTCTTATCCTCAGTTGTCTACTACAAAGTAGTGAAGTTGTCTAATTTTGATTGAGTGACACGGGGGGGAATCATGTCTGAATTGGCTGATTTTTGGATTTACCGAAGTGGAACGTCTGAGTAATCCAGGAGCATAACTAGATTGCTTGAATATATGTACTCCACCACTGATAAGATGGGAAAGGAAAATATGCTGCAGAGAGTAGATGACCATGCTGAAGCAAATGGTTGTTCGACTATAGAGAATGAAGATTTGGGTTCTCAATCTCGTCATAGCGTAGGCAAGGATTCTGGACTGCCAAGTTGTCGTGTGTGTCAATGTACTGAATCTGACAGAAGGGGTGATGCTGTTTTAGGATTTCTGGGCATCACTCCACCATTATCGCAAGCAAGAAAAAATGATGGGGATTTTAAGCCAGAGAAGCAAAACCTAGAAAATGTTGATGGCAGCCCTGTGCTGAACAAAAATGTTAAAGGGGATTCTGGTTCAATTGAGTTCATTGGCCCTAATGGGGAGGTTTTCATTTGCAGAGCTGATATCGAAACGGGTTCATGTAATAATGAAGATTCATTGGTGGAGCTTGGGTGTTCTTGCAAGAGTGACCTTGCTCTTGTACATTATGCATGTGCTCTCAAGTGGTTTGTCAGCCATGGATCTACAGTTTGTGAAATCTGTGGATGTATTGCAGAAAATATTAGAACTGATGACTTTAGAAAGGTTGTGAGTTCTTTGAAGGAATATGAAGCTTTAAGGGAAAGAATTGCTACTGGGGAACCTAATCCTATGCAGACTCATACTAGTACTGATATAGATCCTGATGCTATTGCTGCTGTCCGCAGGCAGCGGCTTAGTGAAATCTCATTGTGGTTTAGTCCTCATAACTATAATAGCAACAATAATTCTACTGCAGCCTCCCAGGTTGTTTCTGAACATCTGAATACCATCTCAGAAAATGTTGTCCCTTCCGAAAATCCTGCAACCAGGTGGGCTGTTGAGGCTACTGGAATTCTCCTTGCTACAGGATTGCTTACTGTTACGCTTGCTTGGCTAATAGCTCCTCGCGTAGGGAAGGTAAGTCTCATCAGTTATCTTATGTTGTAGTAGTTCAGATAGAATTTTCTTAATTTAAAATGGTAATTTAGAGTACTGGGAATTACCGATGCATTAAGATTCACAGTAGGCCACTGTTAACTAACATGCCCAATGATACTACAGAAGTCAGGAGCTACCGTACTTGTTTTCTTCTTCAAAAAATAATGCCTTGGTAGGTATTGATGTGAAAGTGTTTCTTTTGGGTATGTGACAACAAAACTCTACCATTCAGATTAAAAACTCATTCGTCAGCCTCTTTTGAGACTCTAATACATTGGAAGCAGTTTCTGTTCTTGAGAATGTCTGAAGGCAATTTATTTTTGTGTAATTTTACGCAATGGTTTTTATTTATTAACAAAAATGCCGTGCAAATAGGATATTCAAAAGCATCTTTTCCTGAACACCAAGTTAACTCTTTCTGCATTTTCTCCTATACTGAGATACATTCGACCTTTTTGTTTGGTTTTTTCCCAATCTTAATCTTCCTTGTCCGACTCTCCAAGCTTTTACTTCTATTGTTTTTTCTCTCTCTTTTCATTCTCTTATTTATCAGTTTTTTTTCTTGCTTGCTAAGGTATGATAAATTTATGAGAGGTTGTGTTTGTAAGTTGACATATTTGCAATTACAGAAATGAGTTTGTGATCTTACAATGAAGATGTTTTTCTCTCTGTCATGGTTTTCCTCCTCTCCTTCATCTTGTTGGGAAGATTATTTAAACATTTAAAAGTTTGGCTTCAGTTAGATTATTTTGTAAAGATTCCCTTGGTCTTTATCCAAAAATTAAAAAATAAAAAATAAAGTTTCGCTTGGTCAATGTGCAAGTGAGTTTTATGAGTAGGATTTTTACAAGTAGGGTTATTTAGCAGCCATTCTCTTAAGAAATTTCAGCTTAACAAAGAGAAAACGTTCTTAACTAAAAGGGATATAAATATAAAAGTCACCTCTTATTTTGCAAGATATTATTATGAGTACTAAGCTTACTCAAATAGCTCAAAAACAAGAATTAAGGAAACTAAAAACTATCTCTGGAATAATTTGTAAAAGAATAATCTTCACTTGGAAGCTCCAAATCCTCTAATCTCCCATGTGCTAAGATCTGCATCATGAAGAATGTTGATGAAGGAAGAGAACAGTCAAATTCCTCATCCTTAAGATTTCTTCTAAATTACCAGTTTTATGGTCCAAAAGAGTTGGAGAAAAAATAATGGAAGAACATTCAACAGAAGACAAAATATTAGAAGAATTAATTTGGAAGTAGGATGTAAAACAAGCCGCGTGGACTGCCCTCACCCTCTCTCTATTTTGTCTTTCTTGTTTGCCCTTAGTTTTTTGTAAACAAATTCCTTGGGGTATTCTAATCTTCTCCCTCGTATCTATTGGAGGGGTGGCAATATACAATGTGCTTAATTTCCATATGTGGAAAGATTTTATCATCGATAGAAACCTTAAAGGGAGTAGGGTTTGTAGCAGAGAAATCAAGAAGTCCAACTCATTTTTCATTTTTCATTGTCCATTGCTCCTTAACTTGACTCATTTTCCACTTATTTCTAAGTTTTTAAACCTCCAAAGGAACTTTTTGATAGACTCCACCACCTGTTATGGCTTTGTCAGATCCCCAGAGCATGATATAATGACAACTCCAACTTAGACATCATCCTTGGGATGATAAGGTTGTGAGATGCCCCGGAAACTACCATAAGATAACTATCATAGATCGCCCTTTCAAACACCGTTTCAACTTCATTGTGTGCAGTGCAGTAATTCCCATTGCCAATTTTAACAACAGGGCAACCACCTTCTGAACGTTCTGTTCTTCTCGTCAGACTCACCCTTCTGAAGTAGTTGTTGCCTTCTCAATTCTGTCTTGTACTAACAACATTTATATTTATATTTATGGCCCACTAAATCTTTTTATTCAAATCTAAAACATATGCCTCTCTCTCGTTTCTCTACATCTTAGAATTCGATAACTTAAATGAGTTGTCACCTTGTTGGCCAAGAGCTAGCGTAACCTGTATATCTTTCAACTTCCCTTCTTTAGCAGTACCAAGCTTAGTGTTAATAACCTGCGTTTGTTTAGGAGGGAGAGTAGGCTGACAGTAGTTTCCTTGAGGTCTCCATTTTCTTTTCCCTTTTTAACAATGTGAGATTTTGAAAGGTTTCATTCAATCTCTTTTATTTGATTGTGATAAAAATTTTCTTGATTTGTATTCTATAAATAATTTCCATTTTTGTGCAGAAAACCGCGAGTAGTGGCCTTCATATTCTCCTTGGAGGTGTTTGTGCATTAACAGTAGTGGTTTTCTTCCGTTATGTAAGTAACTTGCATTTTATATGGCCCTGATTCTGAACTTGCTTTGTCTGGCATTTATTTACGTATTTTTCCGTTGGCATCAATCATTTTATCTATGAAACTTTGCATTTACAGGCCTATTCAATGCTCAACTTCCTAACTTCTATTCTTTCCAATTGTGCAGTTTGTGCTCACTAGGATAAAATACGGACCTGCACGATACTGGGCTATTTTGTTCGTCTTTTGGTTCCTGGTGTTTGGCATTTGGGCATCGAGAACACATGGTGCTCACACGACATAACTCGGTACATTATGTAGATTCTCTTTGGTTTTTCTTCTATTTTCCCCATCAAGGCGATTTTGCAAATAGAAGTGTTCAATACATTTATAAGGTACTAATATCATGAAATATATCCTGTAGGGTTTTGATTTTATGTTATATTTTAGGTTGTATGAGTGTAAATTTGACATTGGGTTGGTATTTAAGTATCCGACAGGATACATAATACCCTTTAGCTGTGTTTCCTTGACATTGGAGCCGATAATTTTTCATTTGTTTAAAGGATCTTCAATTCTTTTAAAAATATTGGTAAATATTCTCATTTTTTCTAGTGTTTCAGAAGATACTTTGGTATGTATAATAAAAAAACAGATGCTAGTGGCCTACGTCTAAAAATAAAAAGGTTCATGGTCTAGTTAGAGGTTTTGAGATACTCTGAACATTTGTTTTCGATCATTTTTTTCTTCTCTGCAATGAAATTTCTCGCACTATTTCTTCTGAATCCAAATACTGTAAAAATGAAATGTAACAATGTTCTAGTAACATGAAAATAAAATTGCTTTAAGGCTATTTATTATTTAAAATTTTGATTTATTATAACTTTTGGTTGCTAGTAGCGTGATTATCTGTATAACTTTTTTACTATTTTTTAAGTTTGTAGTATTTCAACACAGTGATGACATAAAGTAGCTGTAGCAAAGGTATGGAATTTTTATATACTCTTCCCTAAATTGAATGAGAGGAAAAAAAAAAGAATGAAGAGGTGGTGTAATGGTGTTGCATTTTCTTATGAGCTACCAAGCCAATGAAAATCTCTCTCTATTGGCGTATTTTTTGAGTTTATGAGAGATTTTCCATGCTGTAAAACTTTTAAACACTCTTTTGGTCCATACTCTTAGAAATTGAAAACCAGTCTTTAATGTTTTGGCAAACATCATCTCTTGTTGAGTCTTAGGAAATGAGTTAATTGGAATGATTAGTGCACTATAGTGCCAATCAGAGACAATAATGTTGGAGAGTAAGAAAGGGGAGTTGATGTGTTTCGAGGGAACTTGCTAGAGAGGAAGTGCTTTGCCACTGGTGTGGTGTCTGCCAAACATCATTCGAATTATTTAATTATTGAATGAGATGTTGTGTAATTGTGAGTCTATCTCCAAGACTTCCACCTTTTCTTCTTTTTTTTTTTTTTTTGTACGAAACTGGAGAAGTTGTGTTAAGGCCACAAAAGAAAATAACCTAGGGGTAGAGGTAGAGAAAACCCCCTCCTGAAGAAAGACTATCACAAAAAGGCCTTCCAATTTTTAATAACATGGGAATGATATAATTCCAAAAGAACTTTTTGTGGTTTGAACTCCACTTAGAGGCTAAGTATTGTATACTATAGACAAAAGAACCCTTTGAACTAACTGTGTCTTTAAGAAATTTTGAGGTTCATTTCCTTCCTAGTGCACCATAAAGTTGCTCAACCTTTGCTTTTCCTTTAAGAAGAGACTCCGAAAGCACCTGTATCAGCCAGTTATCAATACTGTTTGGAAGGCAAACCGACATATTAAATTCGTTAAAAGTGAGAAACCATCCCTTGGAAGCAAACGGACAGTGAAGGTCATCATCTAAAGACTTTTCCCCTCTTTCACTACTTGCTATTCATTGGAAGGTGTAACAGTCATGACTCTGGTCATGTGGGTGTACACCAGTCATGTTAGGTGTGCTTGGTTTGTATACACTCTTAACAGCAATCATGTTGAGTTGTCTGTAAGTGTGTAGTTTTAAGATACATTCTAACTAGTTGTGTTAAAAGTTCTGTAATGATGTATCTTATGAGTGTCTAATCTGACAAGATACACCTTCAGACTGGTCCCGTTAGGTTTCGTCTTTGGTTACATGATATGTTGAGTGCCTCTAGTTAGGTTACTTGGTATGATTGTGTATTAGGATTATGCAAATGCAATGTTCACAACAAGCTTGATCTACTCCTTCACCTAAAGGAGAACTTGATTTAGCGGCTCTTTCCAAAAGGCGTGAATGCAAATAAAAAACATCCCCCGGATAAGCTTCACGGCCCGGTGGTCTTCGTAAAAGAAGAGACATTTGTCGATAAGCTTGTGCTTGTTTGGAGGGATCATCTTGCTAGTTGACTAACTGGTGTTTGATGAAACCTCATTTGGCTCGTGCCCCTACTTGAGCTTTGAGTCACTAGATTGGCATGACTAACTGGTGTTTGATGAAACCTCATTTGGCTCGTGCCCCTACTTGAGCTTTGAGTCACTAGATTGGCATGACTAACTGGTGTTTGATGAAACCTCATTTGGCTCGTGCCCCTACTTGAGCTTTGAGTCACTAGATTGGCATACAAACATCAATTTGAGTGGCTTCTTGGTCTCACTTTAGTCAGCTTCCTAGTCTCACGTCATCTTGTAGGTTTTGGTGTCTTGTTTGAGTAGATCTTATGATTGGCCCATCTTCTTCAAAGTGTTGTCTAGTTAGGTTGGTTAACTTCTCGGTCTTATTTGGCGGTGGGTGAGCTATGAATATCTTGGCCAGAAATGGAGAGAATATATGGTATATTAATACGAGATACTCCAGGTGAAACTCAAAGTAAATTCAAGCGGAATTAAGCCTAAGTGGACAATACCATACTTTTGCAGAAATATATAAAGGTATGTATGTTATCCTAACAAGTGGCAGAATCATGCTCTAGAATAAGCCGTATTGATGAAATTATTGGTGCCAAACAAGTAATGGTGAGCCTCCAAGATATAGTCATGTAAAATTGTCAATAAATTCTCATATGCCGTTAAAAAGGTCATGAGCCTAGTTATGTCGATAATGTGGTTTGTAGAAGAGCTTTATCAAACAGTTTGATTGAAGGGAGGATTGTTATTAGTGCAACAAGAAGTGGGTGGTGTTTGTTCCACAATATGGTCCTTAGTTGAATACTTTCAAGCGTTGAAATGGATAAGAGCAATTTTTTTTGGGATTGAGTGGATGGATGGATGACTATTTGAGGAGAGGTTTCGTGGTCTAGAGTGGACAGTTGGAGATGTTAACGTGGTCCCATATCCAGTTCGAAGTAGGGAAGATTCGTGACGTATAAGTAAGAGATAATATCTTGGGAGGGCTGTTTTAAAATCGTATTTACACAAATGTCTTCAATTTCCTAAATTTACACTTTTCATGTAGAATTTTATTTTAATACCCTTTCTACCCTTATTTATTGCTTTTTAATATATTATAATTTTAAAATTTAAAAGATTTGAATCATTAATTTGTAATTATATTCATTTAATTATTGTGGGCCCATTCAATTTTTCAACCTAAAATCCTCAAATCTCTCAAAGATTTGATCCTCTCACCAATTAACAACTCCCAAATTTGTGAAATCATGATTTGAATTTTCCACTTCGTTTTCTGCCGTCTGTTTCCAAATTTGTGGAAGATTTCTGAAAGATTTGAATTTTCCACTTCGTTTTCTACCGTCTCCTACCTCCTTCGTTTGCCGCCGCCTTCCTTTCAGACGTCAGACCTTCATCAACGAGGACAGGATACTGCATACCGTCTTCTTTTAATTATTTTTTCCTTCTAGATCTTCTTCTTTTCGTTGCCGAATAGACTTTCCGTCGACGCCGTGCAACGTTCTTATTAGTCTTCTGTTAAGATTGATATATATGGGGCTATATTTTATGTATGTGTACAGAAAATTGAAGTTCTAAACGTCTCATAGTCTTAGTGTTCTTGATTATATTCGCATATATGGGTATATATTGTATATGTGAATATATCTTATGTGTATATATCTTATATATATAAGATATATATATAAGATATATACACATATATCTTATAGTTCTATAGAAAGGGTCCTTCATACTATTGGTAATTATTAGTCTTTGGTTAAGATTGATATATATGGGGATATATTTTATGTATGTGTATAAAAAATTGAAGTTCTAAATGTCTCATAGTCTTAGTATTCCTAATTATATCGTATAGATGGGTATATATCTTATATGTGTATATATCTTGGGAGGGCTACATCTTCATTAATAGAAGATTTCTCTAGGCAAATTAGGCTCGTAGCGGAAAATATAATACTATTGTGAAATGGAGATCTACTTTCTTAAACAATCCTATTCATTTGGTACATGTTGATTGCTTGATTGGTTGTGGGAGTGGTTGCGAGCTAAGGTGTTGGAAGTCTTCTAGTACCATGGGAGTACCTACTATTCTCGTTCACTCCATAATTTTTTCTTTATAAAAAATTTAGGTTAAATTACAAGTTTAGCTATTAAAATTTCAGTTTTGTATCTAGATTTCTAAACTTTAAAAAGTATCTAATGTCCCTAAACATTTATTTTTGTCTAATAGATCCCTGAACTTTAAAGTATTTGCTTTATTGGTAATATTGGGTGAATATTTTTAGATGCTTACCAATCAAACGTGGCAGGCTTAGCCAGAGGGTTTTTTAGAGTGAATAGACAAATAGGGAGGTTCATCACAAAATAGTGATAGTATTGTGACGAGCAGAGCAAAGAATTTTAGGGTAAATGGAAAATTTGCAATTTGGAGTTCTCACTTCAAAAGGCTTGTTTGCCCCAATGTGATAACTAAGGTCTAGTAGACACGTGATAAGAAATATGAATGCTAAAATAGGGAAACTCGAAGGAATGACAATATTTACACCATTGTAATAAAAATGACCAAAAAGTATCATAATTTAAGAAAATGATCGATCGTCTTTTGAGGGAATTTCAAGTCATTTTTCATTTTTACCCTTATATCTATATTTAGACGGAGTGGCTATATTCTTCCAAGTTGTACCTTTAATTGAAACCATAACTTGTGTTGTTATGAAGAGCGAAAAAATGTTTTTGACAAAGTTATTGTTACGACTATTATAAAACAACTGATTTCTTATAGATGAAAATGAGCAGCCAAAAACAAAGTAACAAAATTGGTAACATATCACACCTTAGGACAATTTGACAACGTTATTTATTTTAAGGTTTTATTTTTATTTATTTTCTTTATTAAGAAACAAAAGGAAACATGATTACAACTACAATTCTGCATGCATAATATATTTACGATGCAAAATATTTTTTATATTATGTTATATTGTTTTCATGTTTATTTATATAAATCTAAAAGAATTCTTACCAAATTGCAAAAATATTGACGTCGGGTGCAAAACTGTGAAAACACTTTAACATGGAGTAAATTAAACCATGGAAATCTATGGATCAACGAAGACAATCAATCTTAGGAAAAATTTTATTAATAATTTAATTCTAAATAATTATTAAATTTTAATAATTTGTCCATAAAATTTATCCATCCTCCTCCCAGGGGTTAAAGTAGGTTATTTTTGTGAACGATGGATGAGGCTTCACACGCTTGCCTCCAATTTCTTGTATATGAAGTTCTTTTCTAATTTTCAAGTTTGCTAAATCTCCACGAGCTTTAATGGTAACTTTAGTCTTCCCATCAATATTCAGTACAGTA